TGTCGACTTCTAGTGATCAATTAATATTTATCGTCAATATCGATGAAGAAATAAGAAACAGAAACTTGCTAAAATGCTTTGTGCTGACAATTCTGTATTATACCAAAAATATAATACTGAATAAAGCTAATACTAAAAAATAATAATAATAATGATAATACTGTATTATTCCATCAAACAAAGGATTATTACATGATAGGATAATAGCTTTTTCTACTGACTACATTCATGGATTTATCTCACAAGACAACGTTTGATCATTCCCAGAAATAAACATTAAGCATCATTTTACATACGTAAATACATTGACTAAAATTAACCGAACGGTAATTTCACTTGTCATTATCTACTTACCATTGAAATACATTAAAAAAGAAACAATTTTTCACGACACATAAGCTGTCCAAAATTCAATCGGTTATCAGTTATTTATAACATAAAGTTTAAAAAGAATTCTCTAAACATAAAAGGAAAGTTTATTGTATCGTTTTAATCATAAGACCGTTATAAAATACCCCAGTTAGTACTTATGTACAGAATTAATATTACTAGTATTAACGGTTATAATATATTTTTACAGGATAAAGGAACTAGTATTATATTACATTTCAGTCATTATATATGAACAGATTATTTATATAAGTTAAACAAAGACCACACAGATAAATATATACACTTTAATTAGTGTGACATGCGTTTGAAGTCAATTCCTATGATTCTATGTAAACGTAAAATACACGTAATGGATAAACCAATTCAATCAATATAATATTTTGACTGAACTGTACCAGAAAATTCTAATTTATTTCCATAATTCAAAAGAAAAACTTAATTTTTCTCTCATCAATTGTAGAATAGATAATACCTATGCAATTTAACGGGTGCAACGTACTATTGAAATAACATTACTTGTTGTGACTTTAAGCCCGGCTAGTTATCACTTCAGTCAATCACCACTCGAAATACGACTTATTTAATCTTGGTTTTGTGCTAAACCAATGATATTCGACCAGTATGAGCAACCTAGTATCCTTATTGGTCCTTTGTTCGCCTAATGCGTCCAGTCGAGTCCAGAACGCTAATAACAGTTCCTACTACGCTGATTATTTATTTCAAACATACCTGGTTTATATACCAGCCAAACAGACCACATTACATCATAAAGTAGAAAATCACATTCATAGAACGTCAAGCCAAAAAGTGTCTGTGAACATTGGAGACTATAGTCAATAAACTGAACATAACTTAAGTACAGTAAATTGTACAATAATAATCTATAGGTCAAAATGAAGCTTGTAATAAGGGATATATAGATATTCACAATCTAATTACTGAGTAATTATACAATAGGAATATACATGTATAATATTGATCCATTAATAGTTGTCAGAAGTTACCCATAATTTAATCTTCATTAGGATATAAGACTACTCAAATGTTAAAATTGATTATCATGATATATATTAGAGCTATTGAAATGTTCCTATTTTTTTTAAAAAAAGGATGTAACAGAAATATTCAAAATTCCAAACGATGAAATGTAATATCTGATATTTCAATTGGAATTTTACTAAGAATATTTAAAGGGTGTGTATATGTGTATTTTGTTTATAGTTACCCTATAAAAAAAGATGAAATAAATCAATGCATCAAGCTAAATTAAACTAATTGCATTCAAATATCGTAATAATAATAATAATAAGTAAGTACATTACTTGAATCAAAATCATAAACACTTCATTTAATAATACAAATTAAATTTGTTCAATGTTGCAATTTGAAATTAAGGTGTTACATTACCTACCATTCATCTGTTAACCCTATTCACATACTTCATATTCTATTAATAGTAATATTTCAGTCAGATTCACATCATCGATTCGTTATACTGAATGACAATATTGTTTGCATGGTAAGATATTTTATTTTTCATCAGTCATTGCCAAAATAAATCGATAAAAACTTCTCAGAATTTGACATTTTCAAATCCACGATAGATCATTAGTTTGCGCAAAGTTTTAGATTATACCTTGATGAAAACGAATGGTTTCTTACATGAAATATGATATCGAATCAATAGGTTATAATCTTGTCAATTATATCGTAAGATCCATTTTGAAGGTTTTGTGTGCGAAAATCCCTCCATGTATACACTTGTAATTTTTTTATATTGATTCCTTCAGCTGTAAATTTTGTTAGACCTTTTAATTCCATTTGAGATGCTAATATTTTTGTTTTATTATACTTTTTATTTTTTTTACAGTTTGACTGAGTTTCCATGTTTCTTCATGAACTACATTTATGTTGTTCTAGTTGATAATTAGTCTTGATGGCAGCCATGTTGATTCGTTCCCTTATTGACTGTGTTGTTTCCATTGACTAAACTTGTGCATTATTTTCGATTATGAATCGAAGTACTCTGCCAAATTTAGAAACACTCTGTGTTATTAAACAACCAAATATTATCTTTTAAACGCATCTGTACATGATCTATCCAGAATAGATAGGAATAGCATTTACTTGTAGCGCTTGATTTACAGAATGAACAATTATTCATTGAATAACTTGATAGTCATATTTGTTTAGAACCGTCATTTACCCAATCACCTTGTTTTGATTTCAGCCGGACAATAGCACGTATCTAAACTACCTAGACAGTTATTCATCAGTTCAGACTTTAGTTTGGATTTTATATTATATATATATATATATATATATATATATATATATTGAAAAAGTTTTTTAACAAAAAGCGTGTTACTTAACAATATCAAGAAAAATTTAACCTTTTCTTCAACATACTGATGATTATCAGAAGAGGTTTTGTGGAGATTTTAGAAAGTTCACTAGTTGGAATCATGAATTAATTGAAGCTAGACCACCATGGGAAACCTGGAAGCACTGGACGGCCGTTTCGTCTTATTGTCGGACTCAGCAGTGCGTACCCACGATCTCGTCCGCAATTTCGTGGATTGGTTGAAGTTAGACATTAGCATGGTTAGATTCCCGCCAGCTCAGTGGTCTAATGGTTAAGCGCTTGCGCGCGAGACTAATAGGTCCTGGGTTCGGATCTCGTGGGGGACGTGATCGTGAATGCGCACTGCTGAGAAGTCCCACAATAGGACGAAACGGCCGTCCAGTGTTTTCAGGTTTTCTATGGTGGTCTAGCTTCAATTGACTCATGATTTCAAATACTGATGATTATAAAATAGAAAGAAACAATTCATATATAACTATAGATTTTGATTTTTATATTAAAGAATATATAGATGGATAATTTATTTTGTTGCTATGTCGTCGTAATATAATTTGTCTAGTATTTAACCATTTTTTTCTTCGTATTCGTTTTTCTTTACAATCATTATACAATTTATACTTATAATTTTATATTTGTTCACAGTTATTCATGTTTTAGTGTTGTTTGTCTCTTTGCTAAAACTATATAGACTGTTTGTTGTGTCCATTTTTTGATTATTGTTTGAAACATATTCATTGTTTGTTTGGTTGTTTTTCTCTTTACGGAGGATACAAAATAACTCTTTTATAAATTGTTTTTTTTTATTGATTAATCTGTTCTTGCCAATATAGAACTATATTTTTAAATAAATAAAAAAAATAAAGGAAAAAAGGATTATCTTTCTGATCCTATAAAATCTCTGTAATTATTTCACAATTGAAAGTATAAGTAAGTATAAAGGAATTCCCTTTACAATAGATAATTGTATTACTAATAATATTATTACTTTTTCTTTCTTTCTTCACATTTGTGAAGTGAATTATTTTGATTTACTTCCTAATTAAGATTAGTTTATTATATATTCTATGAATTTGAACAATCTTTATAAACTTGTAAAGTAAGAATCATTATTTAATTATTAGTGACTATATAATATGTTAGTTGATTCCTGGACTTTAAATAAAAACTTATAGTTAATGGAATTCATTCATTTAGTACATGAGACAAATGTTTATGTCAATCAACGATTATCACGTTATAATGAAATAAACATTAGTTGAAATTAGATATGTAAATCAATAAATGATCATTTAATGGTCTAAAGGTTAAGTTATCAATACAAACCTGATGGTCCTGTATTTAATATATGTTAGGTATTAATTGCACACTTTTGAATTATCTAAGACTATGACTGAGTAGCTGTCTAGCTTTGTCAGGTTTCAAGACGTTGTGAAAATCTATTCATCATCAATTTGAGTAAGTATCAGATTTATAATTATGTTATTATTATTGTACAAAGGCATAGAAGCATATCTTCTGTATTAAATCATTTGTTTGGTGATCTTCCGCTTCATATTAATTCACAATTACTGAGCATATGATACTAAGAATTGAAATTTTTTAAAAGCATGATTTTATTTATAAGTTTGTGAACTATTGTACTGTTATTATTTGGTCAGTTTTCATAGGCATTAAAGTAGTCTGTACAGATTATTTTAATTTAACTATCCATTTTGTTATAAGATACATGAATTGTAAATAGCATTGAATTCCAGGATGCCCAGTTTATCTTATTTAGAACTTGAACAGATGGATATTCTTACTACATGCTATTAACTGAACTACTAAACCCAAATGTCTATTAGGCTGTACAATAAATACCAAGCCATTAAACATGAATTACATTTACTTCTGCTATACCGTATCACTTTTTTATAAGTGATGATCGAAATCAGTAACATTTCTTTGTGAACCCAAAACTTCACTCTTAATTTTTTTCTTTTATAAAAAAGATAAAGAAGAAAATTTATTAAATAAATATTTTTTGTCCTTAAATTATTTTCTTTTACTATTATTAGGAATAATTAAACAATCGAATTGACCAATCAGATACAATTATTTTTGAGAAGTTATTTCCACCAATTCAAATGAACTCAATCATAGCTGATTGGGAATTTGTATATAAATAGCTAATATTTAAAATATACTAGTTTATATCTATTCTTGTTAATTATCTAACTGTAATTTGTAGATATATAAAGTACATTTCAATATTTATATTGATATCTGGTTATTCAGTCTAAGAAAAAAAAACTTATTACTCATGAATTCATCTATATACTATTTACCAAGAGTACAAATGGCCTTTCATTCATTAGATTTGTATTAAAAGTGTGATTATCAACAAGGAATAACTAACCCTAATTGATACATAATACACTATATATATATTTTTTTATACATAAATACATATATCCATACAATAAATAAAACTATTATGTAATAAAATGCCTCAAAAACCAAGAATACAAATTGGAATTTCATGCAGGTAATTTGTATATATTTAACTTGCGATTGCTTATATTTTTTGTTTAACTTGTTGTTGTTGTTTGAGTTTAAAAATTTTAAGTTGGGGGGGGGAAATAAAATTTTGTTTAGTAAACATTATTTCAAAGATTTGTTTCATGATACTGGTATTTTATAAACAGTAAGGTACAGCTTCAATTTAGATATACAATTTTCCGTCATTCTATCGATACAGATATATAAGTCATATGCTTTGTGTATTTATCATTCATATCTAAAAGTTACTCTATCAATCTCAGAAAAATGAATATCTATCTAAGTTCTGTTTACAGCGTAGATGAAAGCAAACTAAAAAAATTTATATTATCTATCGACATGTTGAATGGTTTATTTAGTTCATTCTTGTATAATAATCTAATATACATTCAATTAAATAAAACAGTGAATATCTTATTTATACACATATCATAATAATAATAATGTTAATTCAGATAAATAACAGTTAATTTCAAACATGGTTGATAAATCAAACGTTTTTAAATAATTGTGTATTACCTTGATGATTAATGATAATATTTATTATCTGTGTTTTAATCTGTTTAATGTTTGCAATGATTCATAGATAAGATACTACTCTCAGCGTAATTTGCTAGTTACCATTGTTTATAAGCTAATGCTTATTAAATAAATGGTCAGCTGTTCTTGTTTATTGTTCTTGATGAAGGATTTGATGTTTATATGGGATAAAACTCATACAGTGGACGTTTTTGTACTTTTAATAAATTATCTGTATTAATCATTTTATTTATCCCAGTATTTAATGAGTTTTTTTTTGAAGATCAAAAAATTCTTAATTGGTTTTGCAATTGTTCATCTCTCTGAATTAGTTTTCAATAACCGTTAAGAAATTTAATAGACCTCAGAAACTAAAATGAACTAATAAAGATATTTTTTAAAATGGGGGGTTTGTGAAGATTGTAACAATTTTAATAGTTGAATTCATGAGTCGATGTAAGCTAGACCATGATTGAAAACCTGAAAGTATAGGACAGACGTTTCGTCCTAGTATGAGACTTTCTAGCATTACACATATAGTGTTTCCAGATTTTCAGCGGTAGTCTACCTTACATCAACTCATAAATTTAGCTATTAAAAATAACAATTTTATCCGTATGGATACAAAGCCCAGATGTTTTGGAATTGAACAAGTTTTTCATGTAAACTTTATGGGAAGTATTTTCAATTTTGACATAATAGTGTCATGATGGACAATTCGTTTGAGGTTCAGTTAACCCAACTGGAAATTCTTTTCAGCAATCATATAAATAAATCTAATGATATATATGAATATTACAGTCTTTCCTGAGAATCAGAGTGGTATCTTCTTAAAGTAAAGCACTATGATGTAATATTTTTCAAAATATTTAATTGATTAGATTAGTACACTCAATTATTACAAATTTATCTGGTGCATAAAAATCTCATTGCCAATATATTTGCCATCATATTGTTATTTTATAGTGACAAGACTCAATTTCAGTTTGATTGAATATTTGGAAAAAACTGACAGAAGACCGCTTATCTATGTTTCTTACAAGTTGATACTTGTCAACATTCTTGTGTAAACTAATGTTTCATGTGTGAATCAAACCAAAGTCACTTAGTCATATAGTCAGAAACGATGTTATTATTATACATGGTACAATCACAAATAAAACATAAACATATCATTTTCTTCAGTGATATATTGCCAGATTATAGTGCACTTAATGTTTAATCATATAGACTAGTAAGCATATTCTAAATCAAACTTTAGAATTCACAAGAAATACCGCTGTTTACTTCATGTTGATCAATATATTTATATATAAAATAAATGCATATAAAGCATTACAAGTCATATCGTTTTCAATAATCATTTACAAGAAGCGTTTTTCTTTTTATATTCTCAAATATTTAACTTCTAAAGAATCCCAATAATAATAATAGTTTATTACAATCTAACATGTCATTACCTTAAAAAATTGTAAGTGTATATAATGAAATAATAGGGAGTGAGTTAGTGAGTAGTTTCGCATTATTATGTTTCCTATTTAGTGCATCTTGATTAATTTTGTTCCGCAATAGGACGAAATGGCCGTCCAGTGCTTCCAGGTTTTCCATGGTGGTCTAGCTTCGAATGACTCATGATCTCAACCATTGAAATTACTATAATATCCACAAAACCTCTTCTGATATTAATTGTTATCATAAAAAAAAATAGAAAAAATAAAAAGCAAAAAAAAGGATAATCTTTTTATATCATTAAAGATAATGTTATTTTGTATAGAAAATATACGAATTAAAATGAATAAACAAATAAGAGGAGAAAAATTAACTTTTTACACTTGATAAATATTCAGTCATTTTCAGGTCATTATCTATTTAGTAGAATGTAAAAAAAGAAGAACTAGGGTAATCCTTTTCATTTATTTATTTTTTTAATTAACACTCTATTAATAAATGAATTTTTATAGAAAACCATACATACATACATACACACATACATATATACATTACAATTACTATTATTGACCATAAAACTGTACTAATCATCAAAAATGTATATAATATATATGTAATGTAAGTTAATTAATTAACAATCGGCCTTCTAAATTTTATAGTTTAGCTTTATTTATATTTTAACTTGTAAATGAATTTTTTCAGTCACCCGTGAAAAGAAAAAAAAAGTATTTTTTATTTTTTGATATTTATCTAAAGAATACTTAATACATAATGATTAATGATAATTGAAAACATTCAAGCGTATAGCTTAATCAATTATGTTTACTCTTTCTATTATTGATAACAATCATAATAATAATAATAATATTATTATTATTATATTTGTATTGTTTTCTTTTGTATAATATACCTTAGAGATTTTTACTAAGTAACTAACCTGTCTTTGTCTATTCACGTTTGTTTATTTTTTATTGGTAAGTAAGTAAATAAATATTTATGTTTACTTAATGACAAATAAAAAAAAAAATTTTTTTTAATTTTTGGTTAATTATTCTAATTAACCTGGTTTTGTCAAAATTAATAAATAATTTATTTATTTTTCTTCAAACTGAAAAAAAGTAGAAATCTTTAAAATAATTAGTTTATTTGATAAATTTGAAATAATATAATAAAGAGAAATAAAGATGAAGATTATCAGAATGATGTGATATATTAATGAATGAGAATTATTTGTTGAATAAATTTAATATTCCTTAAAACTTTATCAATTTATGATGTGAAGTAGGGTTGAACAAATAACTCTCCTTCTTAGATGTACTTATGGATAGAATAAAGAATATCATGGCTATATATATATATATATATATATGATTTACAATAATGAAGTAATACTCATCGAGTGGATACGTTACGTAATAATTACATAATTAAATTTCGATTATAAATTAACATTGAGTGATTGGAAGAAATAGGATTAATAATAAAGTAATTATTCAAAAATCAAGAAGTTGCTACGTTGCATAATATATGAAAAAGAGAAATAAAATTCATTGACAAACAAATGAGGGAGATGAAAAGAAAAACAAAAATACCTACCGTTCCTAAGAAAGTATTGTTCATAAAATTACAATTCTTAAATCATACTACTAAAGAAATTGTGACTCACAGACTAAGAAAAGCGGTGCAAAAACATTTATTGCAGCTAGACAAAGTGCTATCTTGTACAACTACCTCACAATAAGAACGGCCAATAAAGACAGATTGCCTAAATTCTCCAAATCCATGTGTATTTATCGATTCAACTGCTTCTGTGGAGCCAGTTATATAGGGTGTACGATTCGGCAACTTCGTTATCGTATAACAGAGCACCATCCGTCGTGGTTAAGCAAAGGACAGATTAGAGTGATTAAAAATTCTATTCTCATTCACTTGGTTGACACAAGTCATCAAGTTGAACAGAATAACGCTTTTAAGGTAATCTACCATATCCCATCAAATTTGCTACATGGTTTACAAGTGCGTCGTTTGCATATTGCTGAAGCCATCGCAATCCATGTTCACAAACATAACCTTTGAATTCAAAAGAAATTTGTACAACCACTTTCGCTACCTTGACCATCGGTATAAGGGCGCTTGTAGCGGAACTATTTTCGTACTTCTTCCATTTTGGTTTTGTTTTTTGAACTTAGTATTTTTTCTCAACATTCATCTCTTGATTCTCACATAACTACTATTCACCTGACCATTCATTAAAATATTCTGTTCCTTCTCTTTTTCATATGTTATGCAACGTAGCAACTTCTTGATTTTCGAATAATTACTTTGATTAGTATTAATTCTCTTTCTTCCAATTACTCAATGTTAATTTATAATCGGAATGTCATCATGTAAGAATAGAAAACAGTACAGTCAAACAGTTCATTTACAGAGAATCAATTTATGCAGGCTAGTATTTTAGTTTTCTTAGTTATGATTCAGTTCAATACAAATGAACCTTGATATATATATATATATATATATATATATATATATATATATATGATTCTATTGAAGATGAGTTATGAATACTGAACAAAACATTGATATTGAATGGTGATTATCTTAAATTTATCACTTGATAGAAACGTCATGATTTATTTAGAACTATTACATTTCCGGTACCAAACTGCTTGTTTAAATCACTCTACAATTCATGGGCTAGTGAAACAGCTTTGTACTGAATAGAAGACTCGTGTTAGTTGTAAGTCAAATGTACTAACTAATAAAGGTCATTATCATTAAAAAAAACAAGATCCTTGATTCACCAAAAGCCTGAATGGCATGTAAATGATTGTTTCATATCTCACCGTGTTTATAAATTTACATGTACAAATGGCCTTCCATTCGTAGGGAAGAGACGTCACGATTTGCACCAAAGTGGTTATAGAAGTAAATAAAACCTAATAATCTAACAAGAACAGATGATAAGCATCCATATTTCTGTATCGCTAGATAAATAATTGAAATAGGTCATACTAT